TATATATATATAATGGGCCTTTAATGAATATTCTAAGTGGAAAAGCCCTACAAAATTCACAGAGTACCCACTTACCAAATTTAGAAGGATGTTGCATCCTGAGTCTAAGGCTTTTGTTCATGTCAAAGAGAGAGAACTTGAAGCCCATGACTTGTCTTTGCATCTTAAACAAGAGATTTGAAAGAGCTTTGTTATGCATATTTGCCAATATTGAAGCATCTCTTAAACAAGAATCATTCTTCGAGTTAAGTATTCGTATAGCCGGAACACAACCCAAATCCGGCACATTCAAGAGCCCGAATTTCCGTCCTCCGATTTTGTATATTTCCTGTTATACAAAAACCCATTAAACCAAAAATGAATGCAAAAAAAAAAAGTTTATATGATGATGATAGTGAAGAACTTACATGAAGGAATGTAGTCAAATTACCAATGACAATGTCAACATGTTGAGACATTGAAATGGAAAGAGATTGATTAGTCAAGAAAGGGCTTAAGTAGTCATTACTCCCAATGCCTATCAAATAGACAGCTCTTGAGATTCTCTTCTTGCTTTCTTCTTTACCAAACCTTCTCCTCCACAATTTCTCCACTTTCTTGTAGTGATCCAACTGTGTTCTCAAACTTATAACCTTATAATAATTATAAGCAATTAGTCACCACACGTTGATTTAACATACAATACATATTACCTAACCTTAATTTTAAAAATCTAATTGTCCCAAATAAGGAAGTGGCTACTACAAATAATAAAAATGATATAGCTAAATAAAGCATGTAAAAAACACAAAACAAATCGTAGGTAGGACCAAAAAATATACATTTTTTAAAGAAGATTGTTCAACTAATTTAGCCATAACAATCGGGTCAAACCCCACTTCCATATGAAATCATTTAACCAATATTTTAATATATAAACTTCAAACAAACTCTTAGATCAATCAATCAAACAAACGAAATTCTATCTGCCGTGTGTGTGTATATATACACTATAACTAAAAAATCCG